GGTTATTCCAATGTATACTCCCTGCTCATTTGAGCAGGTTCGGATTCCCTGTGGTGTTTGTAGTTCATCACCTCAAATGGAATCAACACTTCCATCACGACGATGCGAAGTAACTTTAAATGAACTTGTCTATTTAATAAGTCAAGTAGGACGCTCAGATTTATATCATGAAATTGTTCTATATATGAAAAAGCAACAACAGCAAACAAGTCCAACGATACCTATAAAACATCAATTTCATCCCATTAAAAATGAAAATATTATTTGTTCTGAGTCGAATGAGAGCTTTTCACAACTATTATCACAAACGTTAGATATCAATGATTCAGATGAAACTTTTATAGTTCAAGATTTTTCTAAACAATCTCTGTCACAAGCATTGGGCAGTTTACTCACAGACAGTATTGCAAAGAATCGCAATATTAATGAGGATTCGCTAACAACAGCTAATGATTGTACAGAATTAATATCACTCAACTACGATAAACCATTATTTTCATTTAATGCGGCAGATGAAAAATTGAACAAAAAAAATCGATAAAATAAAAATTAAAGAAAAGAAAGTAGTATCATCGAACATACAGTTAATGAAAAAAGCAATTCTGCAAATCCATCTAAGATAAGCTTAACAAATATACATTACTTCTCTACAATACTAAAATAATGTGATATTTAGTTGTCTTTCTAAATAAGGACTAACAAAGTAATTAAATCCTGTCATCAATGAAATATTTTTAGCTATTTACCGCGCGTTAAAATACACTACAAAACTCGAATATGCTCGAGATTCAACAGTATTTTCTTCTTATTCTCTGTTCAAGCGCGTCTGTTGGCATTTTTTTCCTCAAAAAGTTTACAAAAAAGCATTTACTTGTCTTGAAAAAAATGAACGCGTTCGAACATGTTTTATTTTCCGATTGTGTTTTTCTTTTTACTCCTGATTACCGGGAGGCCTGAATTTCGGTTCACGAACTTTTTGTCCCGGACTTTCGGACTGAAGCTTAATTTACCTAATTAATTTATAAATAATTAGCAAACTTCATGGTGCTCAGCAGTATGACATGGTGCTCAGCAAGACGATATAGTGCTGAGCAGTGCAACATGATGTTTAGCAGTTTGCATTCAATTCTGTTAGAAGTGAGGCAGAGCACAATACTCTACCAACATAATTTTAATTTTAGTCGACCGATGTTTCTCCACCAATACAGCCACTTTCATCTTGCTGAGCACCACGTTTTATTGAAAGTGCATAGTGCTGAGCACCATGACGTTTACTAATTATTCATAAAATTAATTAGCTAAATTAAGGTTAGTCCGAAAGTCCGGGACAAAAAATTCATGGGCCGAAATTCATGTAACCCCGATTATCGATGCTTTTTTCTTTTACAAATTTTTCAGTTTAACTCGGTTTTCTCTGTCGACAAGCAGTGCAACAGAAAAAAATTCAAAAGACTTGTTTTTTTCTTGTTTATAATGTGTAGAAACGACTCATGTCCATTTTTCAAGCAACTTGCATTATTAATTATTTTATCATTTCCCATTCTGCAAGCAAACTATTTAAAAGAAAACATAGATTTGATTTTATAAATCAAACGGTATATATAGTATCTGTTAGATCTGCTCATAACATCTGTTCGATTAGAGTAAATAAAAGAATTCTTTTTTATTTTAAAACTAAACCTCTTTTTTTGGATCAAACGATTCATTGTCTAACTGAATAAGTCAGGTATGAAGCATCAGAACTACAGAAAATGTGAAAAAATATAAAAGAAGAATGATGACCGGTAGCAGGCATCTCACATTAATCAAAAATTATCGCCTATCGCATAGAACGAATTCGAAGAGAAGCGGATTTCGTACGGTGCCGCGATATATTGAAATCTAGCAGTGGATCAACATTCAAAAAAAGTCCAAAAGAAAGTGAATATAAAGATTTGTTCTTATGTTTGACATAAGACAGCTTTAACAATTGATACAACCGAAATAAAATAATGTCTAGAATATAAGAAACATTGCATACCGATTCGCATATAATATTGGTAGGAAAAACGTCGGACAGTTCTGGTATATATTGTTGGTGTATATTGTTTTTAGTACTTTTTCTTCGGTACTTTACCTACTTTGCTTGCAAAATGAGAAATTTAGGTGTAAAAACATCAATTTGCTTTTAAAATGGGAAGCAACCGCAGAGATAGACATTTAAACAATATCCGGTAATAATTTCTTTAAAAAATGAAATAAAACCCATTTCGTTTTTGAAACAAAAGAAACAATGTGTTTATTCCGTTTCAAAAAGTTAACCGCAAATAAACGATGGGAACGAATCTTTTTCTATAATTTATCACCCACTAGTCTGCGGGATATATACAGACTTTTAATATATCATGCTCTATGATGAAAATCATCGCGTTCCGAATTTCTCATTCCATTTTGTTCAGGTTATTATCGGGAATGAATAATTGTTTAACATTCCAACATCACTATAGAAACAACTTAGCACGTTTCAACGGGATTTTATGAAAAAAATGCTTAATGCACGTCCTAATTCACACAGCCCATTGACTGTAAGTAGATTGTAGTTCATTGCTTTACACTGTCTCAAGTTTCCATGGATCTCAGGTAAAGTGGCGTTGTCTGAGAGGTGAGGGGTGTCACACCCGTGAAATCAGACCGAGTATAAGAGTTAAAGCACAAAAATCAAGAGTTACCGATAGAATTCTATAGAATTGTGCGAAAAGCTACAGATATTCTATTCTATGTGGCGTCAGAAAAATGCAAAAGAAATCAACAGTTTTTCCTATAATTCGATGAAATTCATTGAATTCTATAGAGTTGGCAGTTTTTTTAGCACACGGATAGACAAAACAACTTTGTATTTAGGAAATAAGACCACACATTATCTTTCAGTCAATGGAAAACAAGTAATGATTTTCCGGCGATTCGAAAACATGGGATGTTTTAGGTTCACGAAGAGAGCCATATGAAAACTCGTCATAGATGCCGCATAAACTGGAAACTTTCTAACACGAAACATAGAGTTCTACATACAGCCTATTGTTCACAGAACTGTCCTAATCCTAATTCCGCCAGAATTCTGAACTGCATATTCTCATAAATCGAGAATTCCAAATTTCTGTAATTCTAAAGTATCAGAAATCTTAGTGATGGTCGATTCGAACGTTCTAGAAGTTTTTGCGACATTTCGAATTTGGAATTCTAAATTTGAATACCACACTTCCCAATCTTGTTTCTTCATTCACTCACAATGTCCGTCAACGCCCTCCTCTTCTCACGTCGGCTGACTCGCATTCGAAGAACGCTGCCAAATATCTCAGGTGTTAACAGACAGACAGACAACACGAATTTGTATTTAGGGTTGTAAGACTACTGTCTTTCAGTCAATGGAATTGAGGCGACAAAAAGAACTCATTGTTTATACAAACTACAAGTAAAATTAACGTATAAAATCAGTTCTTTGAACAAACAGCAGTTCGGAAAAGTTCCTCATCATTATCGTTGGCTTACTATTTCAAGCTACTAAAGCACTAAATTTTCTTATTGGCTTTAGATGCCTATACTTAGAAATTAAAGCATTGAATCTAAATTAATTTTCACTCCGATGTTCTGAACGTTCTCCATTTTGAATACTATTAACTGTTAATTTTTCTAATGATTTAAACTTTGACTTGTATAATTTAACGTGGAAGGCTCACATTGAATATGTTTCAATGAAATGTCGTCAAATGTTAGGCTCTATCTCAAGAGTCTTTCGTGACTCGCCTTCATTTCTTCGTTGTCATCTGTATAAAACTTGTGTGAGGACTGTGCTTGAATACGGTTGTGTTATCTACGGTTCCACTTTTACTTCTCATCTTGAAATTTTGGATCAAACTCAGCGCCTTGCTAGTAGGATCATTTCACAAGATTTTAGTAGTTCGTCTCCATCTCTACTCAAACAATTTAAAATTCAACCGCTTTCAAATACACCTCTGTATTACCGCCTTCTCTATTTCTGTAAAATTTTCAATCATAAAAGTCCTCTCTCGTTTGATCTGAATTCACGGTTAACGATGCGTCAAAGTTCTCGATTAGGCCATGATAGTCGCGTGTTAATTCCTCGTTTAATATCAAAATCTGCATCTAGCTCTTTTCGTCCGCGAAC